CTAGGCGGGGTACCAACTAATTATAAGTATACTCAATATCTTTGTGGTTCAGAGTAAACACGGAATAATCATTAAATTAATGAAATTGGTTTATCCCGGAATTAGTCTACTACCGTTATAAGTACCAAATAAAAAACCTTTTGTGTTCTAATTTATTTATATACTGAATAATACTGCAACGTCAATAAAAGGCGGTGATTTGCAGTGGACTGCCTTCTTTATTCATGTAATGTATTCAGTAAGGTGCCAGCACCCGTGGCTGACGCTCGTGTTCTTTTCTATATACCTCGCCAAATGTCGTTTTTTACGATAGTGATGGAAACGACTCTCAACAATCGATATCGATATTCCGGCATTGGTAACTATGGACAAATATATATTCAGATCTAACTCCATCTCAGCTCTGGACAATCTACGTACTAAAAGACCAAGAGATCCTGATTTGGAATGGAAAACTCCTAAAGGGGTAGCACCCAGTGCACAGTACAAACCAACCCAGACAGCTGTAAAAACGTTTAATAAATACAGTGTTCTCCCTAGAGATCAAAGTACATCTGGTCAAAGCACGCAGCTTCGGGATGCAACCATCAAGAAAAATACAAGTAAGATACCACCTATCCATCTTCAAATAAAGACTGATTGGACTCACGAATATATCAGGACTGTAATTTCTCGTTACACCAAAGGGTTTCATCTTAAATATATTGGTAACAACAAGATAGCTGTATTTTGTTATTCTACAGATGGCCATACAGCCCTACAGGAAGGGCTACGTTCCGAAAATATGCCTTTCTTTACGTTTGCTCGAAAAGACGAACGACCATATAAATATGTTATATTTGGTCTCCCTGCTTATGCAGAGGCGGAACTTACTGATGAATTAGACAATCTAGGATTTAAAAACAGTTCTATCCGTAAACTTACAAAATCACCTGATGATGCCACACACTGCCCGCCATTTCTTGTACAACTACCCCCTTCAACAGATACGGCAGCATTTCTTAAAATCAAGTACCTTAGTCGCTATGCTGTTCAAATAAGGAAATTTAAGGCCAAAACAAACCTTGGGACTCAATGTTTCCGCTGTCAATCGTTTGGGCATACATCAAAACATTGTAATCTACCACCTAGATGTGTCAAGTGCACTGAGTTACATAAAACAAGTGAATGTACCAAAAAGGATCGTGACACTCCTGCTCAATGTTGCAACTTTCAAGAATACCACCCGGCTAATAACATTGGTAAATCGCGACTGTGCACCTTGCATTATGCTAAAACTAATTCTCGATATCGTTTGCCTCATCACTATTTCCTCAACTACTTCGAATAACGTAATTACCCTACCGTACTGACTATTCGACGGTAGCTTCAATCCTATCGTGGGTATCTTGAGTTTGTTCCGTTTGTATTCATAGCTGCAGCAATGGCTTGTTAGTTCTACTTTCAAGTTTATTAGAGGGAAATATAAATACCCTCATTGACACTCTGCTATTATTGTTGTTATGTAACATTCTTTAGCTAAATATTGTATTTATTTCGCGCCGCAAAGTGAAATAATAATGAACATACATGTTCCCTATTAAATTAGTTTTATGTATAATTTTCACAGTGTATTTTCGATGTTTGAATGATATAAAAAGGCGCCTTGCATAGTCTACTAATATCGATTACTATCATGTTATAATGTAACTGTATATACATTATATTTTTATTATACAAATAAAGAAATTTCAAAATTCAAAAAAAAAAAATCATGTAATACCTGCCTACTACAATTATAATTATAAATGCTTCAAATCACGATTTGTCGTGAATGTTATTTACGTAATCGCCATTTTGTTATCAAGAAAAGGACAACAATATAGCTCAGCCATACGGACTCGGAAGCGGACTCGCCGTTTCGCTCGCGTTGCGTTGAAGCGTAAAACGTCTTTAAAACTAAGGTATAAAAATCTGTGATTTGATTTCAACATTACCTATAAGTATTATCTTACTTAGAATCTTTTTTTTCTTAGTATGATTGCAAACATCGTTGAAATCAATAAAGTATTTTTGACAAAACATATTAACACGGGTTAGAGGGCCGGCGCTCGAGCGACAGCGGTAACCGTGATAAAGCGTCGGCCGGGTCGTTTTGTTCTGATTTAACAAACTGAAAATTCGTAGGCATACAGTCTCGTCGCCTAGCGCTGTAATCTAGCCGCGGTCTGGGGGAGTCCTGCTTTATCGCCAAAATGTGACTCAAGGGTTGGTGAACGGTACGCAATTCAAACAGTCTACTAAACAGATATTGATGGTGTCTCATCATCCCATAAAATATAGCGAGTGCCTCTTTGTCAAACTGATGGTAGTTTTTTCCGCGTCGTTTAAAGTGCGCGACACGCAGCTGACAGGCCGCTCGAAGCTATACGGGTACCTGTGCGCGAGCACTGCCCCTACCCCATACGCGCTGCTGTCCACTGACAACGTAGAGCATCCCTCTTCGTAATGTACTAGTTCTATTCCCCTTCACTAAACGTGCTCTGTTAAGTACATGCTCACTTAACAAAGCTCGTTTAGCCTCCTGAAACGTCTCTCATCTTTTCTACTGTATACCACTCTGGTATTAATAAATATGTAAATACAATGTATGTTATTTCTTCCTCAAATAACAAGTAAAGTTATCGTGATTTTCCTAAAAATATGGGTCTTGAAATTTTTGGCAATAAGTTTGGTCTTCTTTTGTCTGAGTTCTTGGTGAAAGTATATTACACGCTTCGCATGACAAGGGTCACCATCTAATATTACCGTATCGTTGGTTATTTAAAGAAACATAGTTTAAAGCTTGAAGTCCGTTTATTGAGTGAAAAGGATCATTACAAAATAATTCAATTAATAATATTTCTTATTTGCTAAAACTATCTATGTAAATAGCGGATTGTGACCTGACCTATTTACGTTTCCGATAGGTATATACTACAAGATCACACTACATCATCTGCCAAGGCAAGGCAAGGCTTCCCTGTGGATGTAATAGAGAGATTGGGCCTTGTGGGCCGTGACTCATCACACGGGCCCAGTATGAATTGGCGGCTGCTAACGACTGCAGATGCAGCCAAGACCAACGGCCTAACGTACCTTACAAAGCACTAAGCAGCTCTTAATAATGGCCACCCATTCAATGACCGACCATTGCAAAAGTTGCTTTACCTCCACGAAGGCCGAACTTATGCTCATAGATCAAGATAGTATATTATTATTATCCGATCCGTTTCAATTTCATTTGAGTGTGACTAGAGAAGACAGCGCTGCAACTCATGCTGAGAATCCGCTTTGTTTAACCTTTTTAGGGTAAGTGATAAGGTTCTTCATTAGTAATAGGGCTTGCTAAGAGATGGAAATAGAGCGGAGTCTTAAGTATGCCTTTTCTATGAACCGTAGTAGAAATGTTATGAAAACTTATCCTGTGGATATTTTTTGTGTGACCTAGTATTATAAATATTCTGTCAATTATACGGAACCTTTCGTCTGCAAATCTGTTCGCGTTGGTGCGTATTCTTAACCAACCCCGGGGACTAGAGAAATGTGTGCAATGTTGCTTAACAAGATTGTTGCGGAAAACAACAAAACAACTGTGTATCTTTACAATGTAAGTGTATACAAACTGAATCTTTCATGCTTGGTTGGGAACGAAAGAAAAACGTAGAATGTGCCAGTTGTTCATTTTGTCAACCAAATATAAAAGACTGAATTCTGATCAATTAAAAATATATGTGTATACCGTACAAGGTGAATTTTGAGTTACATGAAAAACTTTAGTAGCTAATTCAGACAACGATTTAGGTTTTATTTTCGCAAAACAAAATCTATAAGTAATTATTTTTGTTTTAAACTTTCATGGTCACTAACATTATAGCTATTAACAGAATTGTTACCATGTAACTTGTTTTTAATGAGTCTCCGATATTTCGGCATTATTGCAAGCACCATAATAATTAGCTATAATAATTATTTTTTTCAAGAAATGGCTCCAGGTTAACTTATGAATTGCGCAATTAAAAAACCTTAACAATTATATTTGTCATAAATAGATTAAAAGGATCTACGTACTTTTAGTGGCTAATAATTTCATAATAGATGTTATTTGTTTCTCAGGTTTTCACGCACATCACTCATTAAATAAAACTAGTTTTAACGGTTAATGTACGAACTTTATTTATTTATTGAAGCCTTTTCAGGCCTGCATCGTCAGAATAATGCAGACCTGAAAAGGCTGCGAAACGTCAATAAATAAATAAAGTTCGTGCATTAACCCGTTAACACAAATAAAACTAGTTTTATTTAGGTATGTTATTTACAAATTTGCGCCATTTTAGGACATTTTGTATCGATTTAAATCAATATTTTAGGTAGGGGGGTGTAGTACGTTTACTGTTTATCACTGTTCGCACCATTTTTATTTACACGATTTTAAGTTTCTTGTGTTAAAATTCGCGGTGTATAGACGTCGAAAGCTACAATTAAGTTTGAAGTATCTAAAAGTAGTTTATATATTCCTCACATTATGTTTACTGTATCAATAGTGTAAGTGATATAAAATTATAAAAGTGTTCAGTTATCTGTCTGGACTTTCAAGGTCTTAGTATCTAACCCCTCAACAGATTCACGCCGACAAAGAACAAAACTACACCGACATACGTATCTCCGACTCACCAAGATTATCCGCTCTCCGAAGAGGGATCAGCACGGCACACGAGCATTGAAGAGCAAAATTAGTTACATTTAGTTGGACCCTGACGTTAACTGTTAGTTTGAGAATTATATATGCAAAAAACGATGCAGATGGTTAGCTACATTTACCCCAGGCCGGAGGCAAATTTGAATATTGCTGGCTTTAAGATAAAATATCTTTGATTTAAAATTATTTATTGATTTTTATCAATCTGAACTCGTCCATACTATCATTAATACATGTGTAATGTAATAATAAAACTACACCGATATACGTATCTCCGACTCACCAAGATTATCCGCTCTCCGAAGAGGAATCAGCACGGCGCAAAGTATACACAGCAAACTCGTCTTCCCCGCCATCTCACTGGATCACACTTGACCACTTCCCGGTTCACTTAGCACAGCCACTAGCATCGCGCCTAATGCCCTACCTCGCAGCTCCAGTTAACAAGTACACCGGATCTATATCGCTATCTGAAACAAACGATACAAAGGGAGCATTAGTTACTTCGCACTTAAGAAGTTCTAAGCTGCTGTGAGAGTCTCTAGATGTGTGTGAGTGGAAGGTAAAATTGGACGATTCAAGATCTTCCATATAATGAAGTATTATTTTTATTTACTTTGAATAAAGAATTATTTTTATTTCATTTCTCAAAGTACCTATTGACTTAAATTAGTAGCTGTAAGTTAGATTGTATTTGCTGAGTAAAATAAGATCACCCGGAGCAATTTTAGCCAGGGGCAAATGTAGCTGTTTCAAATAACTAATTACTATAGCTATTAACGGGATTGTTACCATGTACCTTGTTTTTTATGAGTCTCCGATATATTTATGAGTCTGTACATTACTCCGTGATCATGGCGCTTGCAACAGTGCCGAAATATCGGGGACTCATAAAAAACAAAGTATGTGTTATATAATATATTAATTCTATTTGGTAAATTGCATTAATAATGTAAAAATATCAAAGTCACAAGTTTGTCATAAATTTTTAGTTGCTACATTTGCCCCTGGTGACCTAATATGCATCGAAAAGTACTGCTCTATAGTGGAAAGCTCCCTTTTTTAATCGCTACTGATGAAGCCTGAAGTCTTTATGACCAAATTCATCCCCATCGTTTTTTTCCCAGGAAGACTAACATAGCCCTACAGCCCAACACGATGGAAACTTTATGGATGTTGAAATATGTCGAACTATTCACGTTGTGATATAATAATATCAAAGTGAAATTGTATAACCGCGTTCCCGTAGTAACAAACTTTATTTTGTATAATATCGCAGCAATTGAAATAAACGCATGGAAACTGACAGCAAAATTATTCCGCAAACAGAAGAGATCTATATAGAGTCAAATTTTGCAAAATGTTCAGTATTTCTTTAAAATGTTAGTTATTTATTTAATTTATGAGCAACAAATGCGCTGCAATACCTTCTGTACTCCGTAGGTTGTTGTTGTACATTAATTAGCCATTAAGTTAATTCGCCACGAAAAAAAAGTATGTGTACATTCGCCTCAGTTCTTATTTTATGAAGGTAACTGCTTAACGTTGTCACCGACTTACTGTGGCCACTATTACGAACAAAGGAATTTAAGTAACTCATTTCTTTGACGTACTATTCGCAAGTGGAATTCTTTGTCCGCACACGTGTTCCCCCCTTCCTACAATCTGAGGTCCTTAACAGAGGCGTGAAACATTTCTGCAGGCCGGCAAAGTAGGATGGTTGGTTTGGCAGCTTATAACTGCTGCACCAGATATCTTCGCGTCTGGACTTTATTACCACCTAACATCAGGTGGGGTAGGGTTATTTGCACACCTAGCTATGAAAAAAGTGACGAATTAACTTTCAAGGGTGTGGAGACAACAAATGAAAATCATTTATTTCAGAAATCCACACTGAAATATCCCCACCAATGGGGATTGTTCATTTTTTTCCAGTAATCCCCACTAGCTATGTAAGCAAAGCTTAGTGAGGATTATTGGAAAAAAAGTCCTGTTGATCCCTACCAGCATCGTTTACAACTAAACAAAGGATAGGTAATGTTTATACATTACCTATCCTTTGTTTATGGTATTTTTTCTTTACACTTAACCTAATTAGGCGAATTCCTAAGTTGGCTTTTGCTATGGGATACTAGGGCAATGGTTTTAATGATATACGATTAGCAATTCTAGAAATATAATACAAATGACGAATTAATATTGTAACAGATGTATAACAATCCCATTCTATTGCAACTAAGAAAAAATAATGCATAGATGTTATTATTCTTATTGAAGAAATCCCGTTGCACTTTATGAACTTCTAATCTTAGTAAGCTATTATTGCTAATACTATTAATTAACCGCAAACTGGATAATTTTGGGGTGATAAGTTTTCAACTGATTGCTAATACTAGTTGCAAAGATTGTGTACTTATTAGGTATGCAAACGCGTTCTTGTTTTAATCAAAGGTACGCAATGTAAAAATCAGCGAAGACAAAAACTTTTTCAATCAATTTTTTCCATATTTATATGGGACTAACTACGGAGTATACCTTTTCCAGTAAAAAGAGAATGTCAAAATAAGACTACTCTGTAAAAAAGTTATGCATGATTATACAAAAATGTCTTATATATAAAATTCTCGTGTCACAATGTTAGTTACCATACTCCTCCGAAACGGCCTGACCAATTTTTATGAAATTTTATATGCATATTCCGTGGGTCTGAGAATCGGCTACTATCTATTTTTCATATCCTTAAGTAATAATGGTTGTCCACCTGTAACGTAGTGTTCTGAAACCTACAATACGCCTTCGCGCCAAAATTCAAACTATTGTAACGTAGTGTTCTCATATGGGTTAGGAGGAATGTTATCCCAGGAAATTGATAGAACACTACGTTACACACCCCTTAAATTTTTTTGCATAATATTTATTTTTTTATAATGTGGTATTAAAAAATACATACAACCCAAAATTTTCTCTTCTACCACCTGCCCCTATTTTTATGGCGGTACGAAGTTCGCTGGGTCAGCTAGTATATATATATATATACGCGTCGAATTGAGAACCTCCTCTCTCTTTTTTCGTCGGTTAAAAATGGGATGCTGATTGACTGTGGCCATAGTGTTTTCTCGCTATTTCTATCGTCAATATAAATTGCCTCCCGTTATGATTTCATAATACGCATACAGTTTTTTACCGTTCACCATTAGGCGGACCATACGCTTGTTTCCGCCCCTTTCACATGAAACATGCTTTTGACTTCAGCGCAACATTTCCTCAATACCTTACCACTTAATCATTACAGTTGTAACAATCAGTATTATTGCTATAATTTGAGCATAATCAAAGGTTCACTTTGATTTTACCTAGTGCCTTTATACATGCCTTTAGACTATATTTAACACTTCCGCGAAATGTAATAATTTGTTTGATCTTTTGCTAACAGTTATTAATAGTAACTACGTACCATCTTAATTAAAACAGAACAGAAAATTGCCTATATATATAAGAGGTAATATTATTTTATGGTACCTATTGATTCATAGGTTGGTTTAATTGTTTGTTAAATCGAAAAATTCTGGATTTTTGAAGACACTCAGTTTTCATTAAAAGCTCGAAGCATCTACTGAGACCTAGGTCTGTGGTGAAACTATGGCATGTTCCGAAACAAGTTTGAACGACCTAAGATAATAGTTTAAATCACAAAAGCCCACTGTGGCTTACGATTGTTGATAGCGTCGGTCAACCGCGATTCTCTCAAATGTTCTCCCGATGTCCGCAGTAGCCACAAGATAGGGACCGTGGCAGCTAGCGGCTCGGCCCTTAGTAGCCCGAACAAGCACCAGGGATTAGTGACTTAGGCGCCGTATACAATACAAGAAGTCAACGTAAACTCTAAAAGTTATTTAACGTAATGAAATTTTATTACATAAATAGATAATAATAAATAAATATTTCTAACATACACATTAATTAGCCTAGCCCTAAAATAAGCACTGTCAGGATTGTGATGCGATACTAGGGTAACGGGTAGAATACATGCACTGATGCAAATGTTATAAGTATATTTTTAATTCGAAATACTCATAAACATCCATGACTTAGGTACAAATGCTCGTATTCATCGCACGAACATTTGCCCCGCGATTTAAGGTTTCGAACCCAAGTCCTCCGAGCAGGCGACACCTTGAAAACCGGCGTACATATCTCTTGAGTTACGGAAGTAATCAAATATTCGAGACAACTTGTGTGCCAAAAAAAGTTTACTCTTTTGAAATATCAATCAGTGTTTGATAACTATTAATTTTATAGTGATATTTTCTAATGTTAGTTTTTTTGAGAATATCACAGGAAACTTTAAGTTTTTTAGGGTGAAAAGTATATGAGCCAAATTTCATTCATCGGATATGAATGAAATTCTACTTCTGAAATTCTAGTTCTTCCATACGAACCTTCACATTAATAAAATCAGTACCTAGAATTAGATATTGAAGAATCATATAGAAAGCTAAATAAAAGCAACAGGAAAACGATAAAAAAAGTTGCCAGCCATAGTTCTACCAATGTGTCGCCGCCTTTGCACAATCCACGAAAGGAGGGTTTGCTCGCGGCGAAAACATAAACAAGGAAAGTCTACACAACTCCTTTTATGCCGCACTACTTAGCTCTCAGGGGAGAGCGCAATCGTTAACGATGAACATTCGCAGTGATCCCTTGATTTCTTCCGCTTATCGACGTTAAAAGTGTTATCGGAATAACAAGGGCCAAGTGTGAGTCGGACTTGCATAAAGGTCCGTACCACACAATAGATGGTACTTACAGAAAAAAATATAAAAAAATCCAGATTTTTTTTCTCGCGGCGAAAACAGAAACAAGGAAAGTCTATAAAACTCTTTTTATGCTGCACTACTTAGCTCTCAAGTTTTCTGTTTTTTCCACCCCTAAAATACGCTTTACTAATTATTGTGGACTCACATGGTGCGCCATAGCCTGGTCTCCTTAATCCAACCATAAAGAAGGCCTTTGTCACAGTAGTTATGATATCAATGGGCTGATAATGATGTGAGATAAATTAAATATCTCACACTTTAATTAAACGATTGCTAATTTAATTGAGTATTTGAAATATTTCGTCGTTTAATATTAGTTATGTACGTTTATAGATATTTATTAAATTTAGAGCCACGCGTGTTTAGAGTAAGCCTGGTTCCAGATTAGAGGTTTAGGATCTATCTTCGCGACTGGACCCCACTTACACTTAAGATCAGGTGGAGTGGGGTGTCGCGGAAGAATCCCTTAAGGAGACCCCGCGGCTTTGCATTAAGCAGCGTAGATTCGCAGGGTTTTTTAGCTGATACATGCCGTAAAGCGACCGTAAGAGTTGCGGGGTCCTCGGTCGGCAGCCACTGGCGGGTTCGTAAGACTTGCGGGAGCCAGGTGTGAGGTCCGTTCGGCGGTGTGCCACTTAAAGGCGCCGTTGTCT